AGTATTCCTGAAAATTCACACATGGTTTCTCACATCCTTTTAACCTCATAGTAATGTGTGAGGAGGTTAAATTGAAGGAAGAGGTGGCTGGATTAAAGATAATGAGTAGCTAATATAACTAAGTGTGATCTAAACTCAAGTTCCTCTAATCCTAGTAAAACTCTGTATATACCTGTAGAAGGGAGCAATTCTCCTTATACTGAGAATTGTCTCTAATAGTGAAGAATGTGAACAAATATAGCATTAACAATAGTTTTGAAAATCAGTATCGCAGACATTTAAGACAAGTGGCAACTCTTCAATATCTAATTTAAAATAAATTAGGGAAACCATGCAGCACAGCTGAGGCCATAGGAGGTACCTGGATTTCTACTCTATAATGATGTAACCTGTGTGTTTCTACTTTCCCGTAGTGTTGTATCTCTATGTTTTGTGGATATATGTGCCTTAGACATCATAGAATAGACTGTGCATGCTTTGCTTTGGATCACATGACCAGGAGGGAGGGGCTTAGAAGGGAGCAATTATGGTTTTCTCCACAGTGAATTTCTTGGGTTGGTTGTTGTTGTTATTGTTGTTTAACTCAGTGCCTATCGTACTTTTTCTGGTTGTGTTTCTTAGAGAGTTACCTTGCTGATGAATAGACATACAGATAGACAAATTCCTGAGTTTCCTTATATAATTTATTTCCAACATTTTTTGGGTTGGAAAGAATAATTTGAGCAAAAGTAAAAACTGTTTTTCACGCAATTATTGTATAGTTGCATCCCTTACAGCGATATCAAGAACTATCTGAAATATAAATATAAACTTTGAAAAAAACAGAACAATACAGGGCCAATTTGATGTGGGGAGAAAAGCTAGCAAACTAATAGTCATGTTTGAAAGAGAGGCTGATCAAACCACAATCTGCAGAGAAAGAGAAAGAAAAAGAGAAAATTTTCCCTGATGTATTTATCTGGGGAAAATAACTGGTAGTTTCCTTCCTTCCTTCCTTCCTTCCTTCCTTCCTTCCTTCCTTCCTTCCTTCCTTCCTTCCTTCCTTCCCTCCCTCCCTCCCTCCCTCCCTCCATGCCATACCATGCCTACCAATTCTGCATAGCATACAAACAGAAACAGGAACTTTAAAATAACAACAAACCACAATGGGACTATAGTACCACTATTGTCACCTTGTATTTTGTGATTGTTTTAACAGAAGTCAGGCTTAAAGTTAATGTCCCCCCAAATGTTCCATCAAACTACCCTGCTAAAAAATTCATCAGCGATTGTTGAATAGTGTGCGGGAGTGATTGCAGATGCCTGCAGATGGAACTCCTTTGGGGTTGGGACTCTAAGCCAGCCTTCTCTCCCTAATCCCAACAAACAGGTTGTCAGTATAAAAATCTCAGGGATTTGCAGTGAGCTAATATACAGTTTCAAAATACTGTTCCGTGGTTTGCTGATGTATTCTTAATGACAAACCAACAATGGAAATCATGCCATTCTGACAAAAGAACAAGCCAGCCAACCACATAGTTCATTGCAGTGAGCAAATGCACCTAAAATACCTATTTATTGTGTGGGCTGTGTTTTGCCTCCAGTCTCTGATGCATTCTGCCCTTTAATACCAGTTGCTGAAAAATACAAATGGGAAGAGTCTGTTCTGCTGTTGTACTTGGCTGTTTCCTTTAGGCATTGAATTGGCAATTGTGGGTACAGCGTGCTGAACTTCACAGATTTTTGATTCAGACTAACAAGTTCATTTTACAGTAACATTTAATGATGGCTCTCTTTACATTTGAAAAAAATAGAATGTATTAATATTGCAGAATCCAGTCTTGGTCGGTCACCTGGAGGCTGTTGTTTGTGGCGGTTTAGATGTTGATTGGGGTTTTGATGGCTGGCTATTAAGTCATTGTCTGTTGTTTGCTTTGTTGCCAAGCCTTTACCTCCTAAGTACTTGGTAAGCTGATGGTCAATCATAGCTAGCCATGAACACCCCAATCAACATCTAAAAAGTCACATAACAAGAGGCACCATATAAATACCACACACAAAGCAAATATTCTGTGAGAGACATATTTCCTGAATATGGGCTCCAAGTCTGAAGGCTTGGGAAAAAAAACCTCTGGTCCTGGTGACAGATTCAGATTGGATCTTGCAACATTATCCTGAAACTTGTATATTTGCCTTCATCCATGTATTAATATTGTTGGCTATGAAATACTGTTTTAGAAAGCAGGAAGAGATTACTTCTGCTTTTTCAAATAGTAGGAGAAGAAGGGCCTCTGATACCAATCTTAATTTAAAAAAATGTTTATACAAATGTAGTAATCCTTTAGATCGGGGCTGGGCAATTCATTTTCCCAAGGAACCATATGAGAAAAAGGGATTGCTGTGGAGGGCCGAACCAATGTACCCTGATTTGATGTCCTCAAACTCTGCCACTTCATCTCCTCTTTCAGGTGAGGGGTGAGTCTTGCGTAAAAGCAGAAAAGTGCTTTCTCTCCTCCCCTTCCCGTGGCCACCAGCCAATTGAAGAAGTGCACGGGCGGTTGCGCAGAGTGGGACCTGACTTGGAAGCTTTTCCTGCCCCCTACAGTGCGCTTGTTTACATTTGATTTCTAATTTCCAGTTGACTTCATGATGGCCAGACAGGGATAGTCAAAGGCCAGATATAGCCCAGGGGCTGTAAAATGCCCAGGTCTGTTTTATATTATGCCAGAAATAGTATTAATATATTAATCCTACTGCAATTAATACAATGTGGTACAATACGTTATTCTGAATATTGTACAACACAACTGTGCTAAATTCATGTAGGTAATCCTTGATTTATGACCATTTGTTTACTGGCTTTTCAAAAGTAAAAAAAGTGACTTATAACAAGTCTTTGTGCTTATGACCATCACAGCATCTCTATAGTCATGTGATCAAATCATGATGACTGACTTAATAATCATCTTGCTGAACAATGGAAGTTCCACTCCTAATTGTGGTTATAAACCTGTAGTCCTGACAAGTACCCAAGAAGCCATTTGTGTAAAGTCATGAATTGCCTTCCAAAGCAGCTCAACCATAGGGTATTATGACAAGGCAAGGTATTAATGCATGCATGAAGGCAAAACCATGCAGTGTGCTTCTAAGGAGTGGGGAGCAGCAGAAACCAATTGTTTATAATATTTTCTTGAAATAAAATAATCAGAATTAAATAGAATTGTCTTCTGATACATGAAATATTTAGGAAAGATTCATCTATTTGTCAGTATTCTTTTCATGATCCTACGATTAGAATTAACTGTGTCTTCAATTGTGCCATTAAAATATTTGAATAGTATTATAAACACAACCTGATGTGGAAGAGTAATTGCAAGTGTCCATAGTAAATCTTGATGACAGCAAAATGACAACATTTTTGTGCAGCAGCGTTGTACAGATTTTGTCATTACTTACTTGCATGCCAACATCTGATGCAAGCATACAAGTTGTGACATTTGAATGATGCCATCGCACACATTTTGCCATTTCGTCCCCTCTTGTGTCCCTTGCAGGTTCCCAAGCCTGGTTGTTTCTTCTAGTTATGCGTTGCAAATGACTTGAGTTAAAAGGACACCATCAAGTGCTGTAGACCAGTTAAGATGTTGTTCCATAGGGACGCCGTGAACTGTAACTTTTATGTTTTTAAGAAAAAGAGAGCCATCAGTTGTCCACTGTGGACACTCACATTTTAGAGATACTTCTGAAATAACACTTTCTATTCTCTACGCTTGCTCCATGTTTTCCAGCTTAATATTTCTTTTTCAGAAATATTTATAGATCCTGCAAGTTTTAAATATTTGCATAGTGTGTTAGAATTCTTTTTTTAAAAAAAAAATGTTTCACATAGTGATAGCATGTTACATATAAACACCACTCCTGCTCACTTTGTTTGTAAATTGAGAGCACTGACTTCTTATACTCTGAGCAGAAACTGAAAAGTAGTAAAGGCTTAAGTTGCTATAACAGTTAAGAAATCATAACCATAATGATTAGAATACTGAGATATCTTTAATTTCATTAGAGAAAACAGAGTATTTGTTTACTGCTGCCTGTAATCTGTGCAAAATGTATGGTTTTAATGTTTAAATAAGATAGATTATAGAAAGAATAGATTCACAGTATAACTTTAGAGAAAGAGATAATTCTACAATTATACTTATAACTGCTGTAAAGAAGATCAGAAACTACTTTTTTATATCTTTTTTCTTTTCTGTTTTTCTTCTACATTTTTTCTTTGTTTTTAGCACTTTGGCTTTCTCTTTTATTTATTTCTTTTTTCATTTTTATTCTATTTTCATTTGTATTAATTTTTAATCTTGTTTTTGAATCTTTCAATAATATTATTTATTTATTTATTTTTATTTACTGTGAAATTTGTATGCTGCCCATCTTGTTGTCCAGAGTGATGCTGGGCAACACAAGTAATAAAAATAGCAATATTAAAAACAAATCACATACACACATTCTCTCTCACACACACATATACACACAAACACGGGATTATCTTTTAAAGAGAGAGAGTGAATGTGTAAATGAAAATAAAAATATTAATCCTATTTCTGCTCTTGTAGTATAAGATGGCTAGGCCTGATGTAGTTGTGTGCATATCTGATTTTATCTTAATTTCCAAGTCACAAAAGCTGCTTCTTCCATAATAAGACTTCATATGCCTAAAATCAGCAGAATGTGGGAAATTTTGTTTTTTTTTTAACACCAGACTTTTTTAAGAGAATAAAGTACAAAATGTTTTCATATCTCTTGTCTTAACATGACAAAATAATGTTCAACTTTTCATTTAGATACCTACTAACTGAGACAAATAGTCAGGGAGAAGAGATAAATACTGGACAAATTGTGCAGAAACTTTTTAACTTAGTAAAAACAAATGAATAATTAAAGCTTCCATTGTGGCATACATACTATATGGTACATGGTACCTTGGCCTGACCCTGTCTTTATATTCTTGTTTCGTTTCACAGATAGCAGGAGCTTTATGGTGGTATTACATATCCAAAGGGATTGAGTATCTGGACACAATATTCTTCATCCTAAGAAAGAAATTTAATCAAATCAGCTTTCTTCATGTCTATCACCATTTCACTATGTTTACTTTGTGGTGGATTGGCATAAAGTGGGTTGCAGGAGGACAAGGTGAGTAAAGTTGTCTACTAAGTGGAAAATGAATATTGAAAGGAAAATGAATATTCATATGGAGTATTAGCATGTACATATTTTCTATCCTACAGTTATAAAAATGAGTGTGTGCTTAATTTTGTGGTGTTAATAATTTAAAGACATATTCTTTCTTCTCTGGGAAATGAGGGGGAGGAAAGATATATTATATAGACTTTTGAAACCCTTTTCACACCAGCATAAATGCATGATTCAGATTTTAAATCTGTACTCTTCCCCTTGTGTTTAGGTCTATGAACTGCATGAAGCAACAGATAGATCTAACTTGCCTAGCTAAAATCGGCAACCACAGGCAGATAAATTCTTGATTGTGCCTTGCTTAACTTAGCATGGTGATGAAAGAATCTAGTCAACTAAGTCATAACAATTTTAATAAGACTTCCACTTATGCTTAGAATACTTGTATTTATTTTATTTTGTTTGCTGTGAAAACTAATTTTAATTGCTTCATTTTACTCTGTGGATAAAAATGTACATAAAGGTTATGGTATCAGGTTGTAATGCTTATCACACTTTTTCCATTATTTCTTTATGGATGGTTCCTTAAGTCATACAACTCAAAATCAGAATCTTGGTCTTAGTTTGCATTTTCTGCCTTTAATTATGCATGTTTCCCTGTGTATACATTTCCATAGATTGCCCTATAAATCAGATATTTTATGCTCATACTAAATAATAAATTCATAATTTCTATTGTATAGTATAACTGTTCAAATTATTCTGCAGTCCCTATATACTTTATAGTTGTAAACTAATACTTTGAAAGGAGGTACATTTATCCAGAGTCAACAATCCTTCCAGTACAAGTCTAGAAAAAGGAGCCATCACAAATATCAGTTTTCTGACATGATCAAGGTTTACATATGCACGTTCAGTGCAGCACAATAAAACTGTGGAGACTATTTCTTTGCTAAGACATTAGTACAGCTAATCCATGATTTACAGCCTTTCATTTAGTGACCATCACTAAGTTACAACAGCACTGAAAAAAGCTTTTTCATAATGACTATTGCAGCATTCCCATGGTCACATGATCAAAACTTGGATGGTTCATACTTATGACCATTGCTGTGTCCCAGGGTCATGTGATCATCTTTTGTGACTGTCAGACATGCAAAGTCAATGGGGAAGCCAGATTCACTTAACAACTGTATTATTAATTTAACAATTGCAATGATTCACTTGTAGCGAAACTCCTTAGCCACATAAATTTTGGGCTCAATTGTGGTCATAAGTTGAGGACTACCTGTACAACTAGGAGTATGGAAGAGTTATTTATTGCTTATCCTCTACTGGACTGAAAATGAACATGTAATCCCCAAACATTTCTACTCTTAGTTGTTCTGTGTGTAGTAAAATTCTAAAATAAGTTGTCCAGGCACACATTTCACATAGAACAAGTGATGCGGGAATATGATGCCATTTTCTGATATTTGTAGCAATTTATGCTTGCAATTAAATTGTACCAATGCATTCAAGCTATATAGTGGTTACCTATAGCATCCCATAGGTGGGCTTTTATATGGATAAAAGACGAGTCTTGCTTTTTTTCTTCTTCTTATCCTCTGATCTACCGCTGAGAAATTATAACTTTTCAAAATTATAAGGAGACAGGGTGAGAAAAACTGATATCAAGACATTGTGATTTCTTGGTGAGAAAAATTAAATATCATTGAATATGATTACCTTAATGATTTTGGTAACGTTCTTTTGTTTCTTCTACCCAACAGCATTTTTTGGAGCTCATATCAATGCTTTCATTCATGTTGTTATGTACATGTATTATGGACTAGCTGCCTGTGGCCCAAAGTTCCACAAGTACCTTTGGTGGAAACGATACCTGACCATAATGCAATTAGTAAGTAATATTTTTTTTAAATCTTATCAGTTATTTTTTAAATTGGATCTTTTCAGTGTGAGAACTTTGAAAGTAATAAGCGCATACACAGTACCTTTAGAGCAGTGGTTCTCAACGTTTGTGTGACGGCGACCCCCGTCACACAAACGTTATGCGCATGCGTGGCGCTGCGTGCATGGGAGGCCCCGCCCCATGCACGGTGCGCATGCGCGGCGCTGCCCCATGCACGGCGTGCATGCGCAGCGGTGCCCTCATGCGCGGTGCACATGCACGGCGCCATCCCATGCGCGGCGGCGTCCCCTGAGGGGAGAAAATGGCGGATCGCCGCCTTTGGCGACCCCCAAAAAATGGTCAATCGACCCCAAATGGGGTCGCGACCCATAGGTTGAGAACCGCTGCTTTAGAGAGTCTCTTTTTCAACATGAGGAAACTCATGCAGAAGAAACCCTTACCTGTTCTCTATGTGTTGCCATCAGCATATAGAGAATTACAAGAATGGTAACAAGATACTCATCTAGAACTTTAATAGCTGTTCTCCCTTTTCCCATACAATCACTCCTCATTTACTGACTGCACTCCATTCCGACGATCATGTCATGAAGCAAAAGGATCACTAAGTGAGCATGTATTGACAGAAGTTGCAGCAAAGATAGTTGATGCTGTTTCATTCAAATAAAATTCTGTTTTACAAGTCCTGTGTCTGACCCATTGTTTCACCACCACCACCTTTTAGGGTGGTGTTTTTGTTTAAACAAGCTATCTCTTCCTGAGCTGCTTTTTTCCACAGGGCAGAACCTCCCTAAAAAAAATACTAATCACAAGTTAACAAACTCAGGTCTGTGACCTTAATCAGAACCCTTCAACCAACTGTGCTACTGCCTGAAATTGATCAGACCTTAATCAGTTTCACACCAAAGGCTTTTGTTGTCATAAATGTGCACATTAGTTAGAAAATATTTTTTTTTACCATTGTATTTGTGAATGGTCACTAACCAAGGCAGTAAAAGAGGAGTGGCTGTACAGACGATATATTTTTTAAGAATAATGGGAGAGAGCTTATATATTATAATTATTTAAATCTCTAAATGTAAGCACAGTCCATATAAGCACACACAATTCTGGTACACTCTCAATTCTCAGTAAAAAAAAAATAATCCTAATGAGGTATTTTCCTCCAATAAATATGAATGTACCGTATGTGCAAATATGTATATCTATATACATATTGTCCCCGGGCAGCACCCTAAAAATGGGCACATCCTTGAAAAGAAATTATTTATTTATTTACCTAAGAAAATTTATATGGCAGCCCAACTCTCTCTCACTGACTCTGGGGAGCTTACAAGGATAAAAGGATACAAAAACAATTTTAAAAAATAGCCCCACACCCCTGACAACAACCATCAAGCTTAGGGTTCCAAGTCATGTTCAGTTAGCTTGCTAGCCTCTTCCTCCTCTCATTTCTCATTCATATCCAGGGGCTTCATGTCTGCCATTAAGACCTGCTCTATCTAGAGTGGTGGCCTCTATCAGTCTGATTTTTCAGAGTTACTCCGGTGTGCAGATGCTACTTTCTCCTGGAGACCTTCAGGAGGAAAGCAGGAGTCACTTGCTCATCCCCTTTGAAGCAATGGTGGCAATCATTTCTCTGTTTCAACAGCATCTTCCTTTATGGCATTCTCAGCAATATAATGTAAGATGATCCTCCTTCCCTTAGTTCACTAATAATTAGAGAGCCCATCACGCTTTTAAGTAAATAAAGAAATGTATGAATGGTATTCAGGCACTTTTTCAGGGGGGAAAAAACCCTCACAGAAACCCTATACAGTGTTTCTCAACCTTGACAATTTTAAGGCATGTGGACTTCAACTCCCAGAATTCCACAGCCAGCATTGCTGGCTGTGGAATTCTGGGAGTTGAAGTCCACATGCCTTAAAATTGTCAAGGTTGAGAAACACTGCGGGGCGTAAAATAAACTTATTAATCAGGATTAATGGACCTTCTGTTATTCTACTTTTCAGGTTCAGTTCCATGTGACTCTTGGCCACACCGCCCTGTCTATTTATATTGATTGCCCCTTTCCTAAATGGATGCATTGGGGTGTCATTTTCTATGCCACCACTTTCATTATTCTGTTTGGTAACTTCTACTATCGGACATACAAGATGCCCAAGCAGCCCAAGGAGCTCAAGCAAAAAGAAAAGAATGGCAAGATCACCAATGGCGTAATAGCAAATGGTATAAGCAAATTAGAAAACGGTGCAGTCATGGAAAATGGGAAAGTGCATAAGAAAGCCAAAGGAGAGTAACTTGATTCAAGCCTTAAACATTGCGAGCAGTGAGGATTCTTCAATCTGATAATAAAAGAAAAGGAAATACTGTCCTGTCTTTACCAATTGACCTTTAGGTTATTGAAGAGATAGAAAACATTATTTATGAAGATTGTTTTAACAACAAAAATCCTATTGTAATTATGTAATTATTGAGATTCGTTAACTTTATGTAAACTTTTAGACTGTGGGTGTTGGTAATGTAAGAAAGAATTGCTGCAATATTACTTACTGTCAATCCAATGGTTAAAACTGCAGTTAACCAAGGCTATAATTGATTTATTGAAACAGACATCTTTTTGAAAAAGAGAGCTTACAGATTCTGCCATTTCTAGTCAATGTTTTAAGCAAAAAAAAAAAAGCCCTCAATGAAAATATGGAGAGGGACGTTTGCTCTCTTTTTAAATAATTTGTAGTTTCTTAGTCTAAATTATACAGTATTGCTGTATTAGGTTGTTCTAATTTTTCCCTTATGTCTGTTACATTGTTGTTCATTGTGTGAAAATACACCTACCTCTTTATTTGGTAAAAAATAACAACTACTATTAAATATTCATTTCTGAAATAAGGAGCCCGTAATATATTATTTAGAAAAAACATTGGTCTCCCATTAACAAAACACATTTTCTTATTAACAAGCATAAAACTACATTTGAACATCTTTGATGATTCTTGTATCCAGTTGCACGAAATGCATGGTGTTGATGCTTTTTCAATGATCAAATGTAAATAGTGGATGGATCAAAGATATAAATCAATTTTTATTTTACTAATGGCCTACTTACTGTATTTTCCGGCGTATAAGACGACTTTCTAACCATGCAAATCTTCTCCAAAGTCGTCTTATACGCCCAGTCGTCTTATACACCGGAAAATACGGTATTTAGCATGGGATGTATTCAATATAAAGAGGAGAGGGATTCATAATTACAAAGAACTTTGCAGTTGAAGGCTTGAAATCCATAGTTTACTGGGGTTTAACTGTGGAAGCAAGTACTTTGATGCCGTGACCAGATGCACTGTACCTATATTGTGGTGAATTGTTTATTCACACAATAATCTTGCTCTTTGGTACTGTAAAACCTCTAAATTCATGTGTTTAAAACAGGCTCTGTGCATGTACTGATGGCTCTTGCGATCGCATCCCTGCAAGAGCAATAATGGTTTCGTAAAAAGATTCTATTCTTTCCATATCAGCTTCTCCAAGTGTTATTTCCATGGATGCTCTTCTCATTCCTTCTGCTGCACCATTGTGGCTTCTCTCTAAAGTTTGATAGAGTACCTCAAGCTCTTCTCCACTATGAACTGCATACATTATATTGCACTACAATGAAGAAAGTACAATAATGACTCTTCATTTGCACAGCCAAGCAATTTGGAGAGAAGTCATGATTTGCTCCAGCTTGGAGTGACTTTGAGGGAGAGCTGCATCACCCAGAAGGTCTTTAGATTTCTCCGTTCTAAGTACAAGAGCCCATCCTCATGTATTTTTGAGAAACAGTTCTTTCTAGCAGCATATTTTATATCATGGAAATAAAGTTATTTAGTTGAGATAGAAGCTCACGGAATATTCTGTTTTATTTTACTTGTCTTGTATTGTCTACAATAAACAACAGGAAAACAAAATCATTTCTTGATATTCATAATGTCTCTGACTTGAAATTTAAAGGTAATTTAAATGTTTATGTAAATAACTTGGCTTTGAAGATGGTAACAAATTAACCTGTAATTAAGACTTGTATTCATAGTAATCCAATTTAGCAATGAAATACTGATGAGCTTCAGTCCTCTCATACATACTCTGCAATAAGTCTGTATAAATTCAATTTTATTTATTTATTTACATATATAGGATTGTACTACTGGTCTACATAACAGATATTATCTGAATGATGGGACCACATACTAATAACTTGAATTTTTGTTGATTTCAGTGAGGGGGCATTATGGTTTTTTTCTTGGTTCTTTAGTTCCTTCATTAAAGTTCCTTAGTTCTTCCACTGAAATCAGTAGGCATAATTTTGGCTAAAGACATTTAGGTGCCAGGAAATAAAATAAAATTTGTTTAGATGTATTCTGTCCTTTTTAGTATATTATAATTTCATTATAGTGTGGTGTAATCTTCTGTCATAATCCAGACTGAATAATTATTTTTATCCAATGGCAGAGTATTGAAAATTATAGTTAAGTGTGATTATAGTAAGTCTTACTATATATTTTCAGCCAGATTTCATCTGACATAATTTGATAAATCTCCATGTATTATATGTATTCTAGATTCGTATGCATGAGAGTACAGCTAACTCAGAGCTGTAATTCTAATTCAGGTTTGCTATTGAAATTCTGGATGATTTAGTTCTTGTACATAAGGCCTATGTTGATAGTAAGGCACCTGCTATTAATACTGAAAATATTTTTAACTATTTTTAAGTATTTTTGAATTACACCTGCAGTAAGTTCTTTCTTGTTTTGCTTGGGTTTGTGAAATACTACTCTGCAGTGACTAAGATTTCAAATTGTTCCATTTTTATTTTTTGCATTTTTGTACATGTATACATAATTTGTACACTGTCCATGAGGTAGTCCTCAGCTTATGACATGTTGCTTAGCAACCATTCAAAATTACAAAAGATCCCCTTCCCAACTTATGACCCATTTCCAAAGTTCTGACAGCCACACACATACCCATGACGGCGTATTGGGCACTCAGCAACTAGCCCACATTTACAGCATTAACTTCTGGTTTTCAGCAAAGCCAACCCACAGTGCACAATGGGTTTGCTTTATAACTCTGTTGTTCACTTTACAACCACAACCTACAATTATAGATCATGAGTCTTGGACTACCACTATTGATGTACAACAGCTAGAAAGTCATCCATTGACCATTTACTTGTGGATGCATCCTTGAATTTGCCTAAAAAGATAACATTTGCCTTTGTTGATTTGATTGTATTACTTTCTTTCTCACCAAAATTCTGTTCTATTAAATATTAATAAATGAGGAGCAAATGACCATTTGAGGCCAATAGAGACCTTCAAAGGACATGTTATAGATAAATCTTCATAAATGGATCTCATGGAAAGGTTTGCCTGTTGAACAAAACAGCTGATGGCCACAAAACAGCTTAGTGGCAAACTGTGACCCTGACACCAGCTCTACCCTATCAGGTTATTCCCTTTCAATGCAATTTCCCATGGTGACTTTTTTGGGTAGGTAGGAACTTTTTAAAAACAAGTACACTGCAGCCACCTATTTGTGGTGTTATCTAACAATATGAGAAGGATGCGAGGATTTTCGCTGGAAATAAAAATAATGCCACAGATGATAGTTTCCTAGCTTCCCACTTTATAAAGTTGATTTAAAATGTGCCAGATTCCCATTTTGTTACTTGTTTACACTGATAAGCTTTTGTTTAATGAAAAATTAAGCTAGATGGACACTTAGAGAAATTTCCACAGATACCACATGACCTTCTCCACAACTCTTGATAATAGATATTGATGGGAACATAATCAAGTAATCTCCTAAAGCACCTATAATATCCTGTCTACTTGCCCCTTTTTCTAGAGTTGTTGTTATTAATTCTCAATGTGTGACCACTTTACCTTTTCAACTTCTCTTTGCCAATAGCTGGGGAGGAAAATGCAGCACAGAAATGCACAAGTTGTGTCCTGAAGATCTTTTAATCTTTCACTTTTGTCAAATCGACCTTCCCATCTCAATAGTTAGGTGATATATGTTGGGCTTGCACAGAATTGCCATAATCAGTTTTGATACATTGCAGTTTGGTTGGGAGCAATAACTCATTATTTATGTGCCATAAGTGACTATATTGCCAGCATTAAGACAGTATTTGGGGCTGGCAGGGGGAGGTTAAACCTTCATTGTAATGCAATGTAACATGACAGAAATCAAACAGCAAAATACATCACGTTTACAAACAACAGAACCTGACTTCAGATTAATGGAGCTGAGAGTGCTATACTTAACAGCACCTTGGTGTATCTGCATGTTTTTTGTGGTCATTTGCTTCTCAGCTAATATTTCTGCTTTATCTTTTACTAAAAGATAAACTAATTACAGCTCAGTCAGTAACTATATACTGTTAAATTGCTAGAATGATTTTTTTTCCCCTAGTCCCCTAGCTCTTTGAAAAATTGGAGGCAAAGATTGGGGTGAGATTTGTTTTCTTTGCTAGTTTAAACTTTCATGCATTTTTCATGCAGGTCTTATGGCAGACAGGAGAAAAAAATCAATTTGGTTTTTTCTCACAAACTTGCAAACAGCCATCATGTAAGAAAGCAACACAAATACTGTATGTGATGGTTGTTACATGTAAGGGCCATAATAGCCTTTATAAAATATAAGAAATTCATGTTAAACAAACCTATTTGTACACATATACACTAATTGACCTAGTTTCTTGCCTTCACAGTCAATTAAAAAGTTACAAATTGATGTTTCCTTTTTTTTGCATCCATATAACTTTATTATTTTTTTAAAAAAAGGAACAGAAACTAATGCAAATTAATATAAAGTAAGAAACAGAAAAGAAGAAAGAAATCCTAGAGAAAGCTAAAAGTGCAAAAAAGGAGGAAAAAAGAAAAAAAAGATATAAGCTTTTGATTTCTTTTACAGCAGTTTTAAGCATAATTATAAATTTACCTCTTACTCTGTGGCTACATCATAACTCTCTTCTTTCTATACTCTATTCTGTCTAATCATCAAAACTATAAATCACTTGTTCATTGTTTTCTGTTTTATGCAAAAAAAGTTTGTAAGGTGTTTCCACTCAGCAATAAACATACGTAGATATTGTCTTTTCTCTGATCAAAGAAATCAACCCACTCAGAAAGTTCCATCATCTTTAACTACCATGCCTCCATTGTGGTAGTACTGAATCTTTCCATTCTTGTGCATACAATAATCTCACTGCATCTCTCATCTTATCATTTACAAAAACAAGGTTCCGTGGTTTTTCTTCAACTCTTTGACCATCAATCCCAAAATAAAACCTCTGGTTTCAATTGTATACAGGTAGTTCTCAACAACAGTTCATTTAGTGATGGTTCAAAGTTACAAAATCACTGAAAAAAGTGACTTATGACCATTTTTCACACTTACAACTGTTGTAGCATCCCCATGATCTAAATCCCCATGATCTAAACTGACTCACATTGATGACCGTTGCAGCATCCCCAGGTCATGTGATCACTTTTTGGGACCTTCTGACAAGCAAAGTCAATGGGAAAGCCAGATTCACTTAACTAATTTAACAACTGCAGTGATTTACTTAACAATTGTGGCAAGAAAGCTTGTGAAATGGGGCAAAATTCACTTAACAAATGTGTCACTTAGCAACAAAAATTTAGGACTCAGTTGTGGTCGTAAGTCAAGGACTACCTATATTAATTTTTAAAATCTTCTGAATCAATATATTTGAATTCAGAATTTTGTAGCTTTTTTTCACATCCACCAAACATGATAAAATGTCCCTTCTTGTTGTTTACATCTCCAGCAGAAATTTGAAGTGCCTTTATACATTCTAAACAATTTCTCTATTGACATATACCAATGGCACATAATGTTAAAAGACTTCTCTTTAAAATTATAACACAATGTGAATTTCAATCCTTTAAAGCCACGTTTTCCCATTATTCCATCTGTAATAATGGAATAATGTATATTATAACCAAAAGGTTTAGCCCATTTTATCATATATTCATTTGTTCTTCTTCTGTTTCAAATTTCAATAAAAGTTTACACATTTTAGCAACTATATGTTTATCATTTATACATTCATTATATGTACAAATTTGTATCATATTTCTAATTCAGTCTTACAATGTTCAAAGTCATAAATTATTTTGTCTGCTTTAAAACTTTCTAATAACTGTAAATAAGGCAAACATTGACAACTATATATCTCTGACACCAATTCCTCTCTTGATTTTATTTTACATTCCCCTTTATAAAATTCTACTAACTCACAATAAATTAGCTATTTGTATTTGCCTATTATTTCTCATCTATAAAATGCTTGTTGTACTAAGAGCCACAGAGGTGTTTTCGGGCACATTCCGAGTCTGTATCTATTCCATATTCTCAGTATGGCAGGTCCAATGTAATGATTTCTAAAGCCCACATTAACCTTGACTTTATTGTACCACAAATATCCATGCTACCCAAATCTCATGCCATGTCCTTCTTAATTCAAAAGCTTTCTATTTTTCTGCAATGCTCATTCTTTCATCCAAACAAAATAGCAAGCAGCAAAGTACAATTTTGCCAGGTGAACCCAGCCCTCCTCTTTCTTTTGCTCTTGTAACCCCTTATATAGCAATATTCAACTTGGTTTTTTTTTCCACTGCCACACAAATTTAGATGTACAAAATTCAAATTAATGCATTGAAAGTTTTATTACAACTGAGATTCAGCTCTCTTATATTAAATCCTAACTCTACCGAGCATGATAGAAGCTCATGGCAAACCAGAATTAGTAGTTGTGGTTACACAGAAGAAAAACAAAGAATGTTTCTAGTAGATAGGCAATTAAATGGGCTGAAACAAAATGGTTTGTTTAATTGCAATATAAGGCAAAGCACTTAATTCAAAATTTTCATGA